ATGGTTTTTGCTTGCATGTGTTTCAGTAACAGGTTCTTTTTACGAGAGAGGTTGTTAGCCTCGTGACTCAACCCCCCGACCTGGAGGGAGGATGACTGGTTTTTTTACAGTTCTCAGCACTGAGTTTACAGGTATCGTCAGAGAGCTTAGAGGTAGCACCACGTCAGTCCTATTCTTTTCAATGTCGGGACTGCACGGCTAAACATCATATCAGTTCAACAATAAGAACGACGATACCCAAAATAGCAGAAAAGAACGGAAATAACTGAAAAACGGCATCCCTGATATATGTTAAAATTTTCAAACAACTAACCAGTTTTGCTAAATACAAAATATTTGCCAGTAAATGATAATATAGTGTAGAGCGCATAGAGCCTGCTGTTGAGCGGGGATGATATGCGCTATACAAATGCTATCTATTATTATTATTATTAAATATAGCATTATTTTCCCGGCGAGGGTTGTCACTTTCAAACATTGCCGTTTCTCGTAAGACTTAAAATTGTTTTTCTCACAGTACAACAAGAATACTTTAACACTTTGCCATCATATTTGGGGGAAAATCCAAAGACACTGGATGGAAAACATCGCCGATCGACGAGATGAGGTGGCAAAGTGTTAAGGACATAGCGGATACATACCAAAGGCAATGTTGCTGCACATTTGGAACAATCATTATCATAAATGAATCAGAAACAAGAATTTGCATATATATTATTTCTAAGTAGGCATGTTGTTGACTGCCTTTTAAAGTTTTTGATTTTAAAAAATGAAACTGAAAAATCTGTATGAATAAATAAACAAAGTTGTCCATCTTTTTGTTATAAGATTGCTCTAACAGCATGTCTTCAAGCACTGCCGAATGACCAGAAATCGCGTCACAATGACTTTAAAAAGTACCTCTAAAAACAAAAAAAGAAAGATATAAAAGAAGTTTTTTTACCATATAGCATAAGGCTATTGTCAGAATAAGCATAGATGTGTGTGTGTTAGTCTTTAGAGTATGTATGTATCTATATAACCCCAAAGGTCTTGTAATTAAATTCCTGCATGTGGTTGAATGATGCATCTGATGTGATATGCAATTTTGTCAGCTTTACTTTTCTTTTCACATTGAATTTTAATGAGAGTAATATATATAATTCAAATGTTTATGAAAACCTGATGTGTTTTTACGGTCCTGTACAGCCAAGAAAAAATTCCCTCTGGGATAATAAAATATTATCTTATCTTATCTTAAAATCTCTTCACTCACTGGACTTGGAAACGCAGTAGATCCTCTCGCAGACACGACGGACTTGCCCTGCGGCGTTGTCGGATTGGCTCCCAGCGACTCAGCCAGTCCAGATATGGTGGTGATACATTTGTCCAGGATCTTGCTGGCAGACAGGACGGCTTCCGAGTCTAACGTTGCCGTTGGTTTCACCGGCGTTTGTGGAACACTTGTACCGACTTGAGGAATGTTAATCTGCAAATACAGTATTGATGTAGTCGAACCTGTCCAAGACAACCATCTATTGTCTAGGAGAAAAGTGGTCATCTTAGTTTAGCAGAAACTGTAAATGCATAAATAGAAGAAATACAAATAGAGATGGTCAAGAAAGGCATAAAAGCACATGAACCGTGAAATCTATTTACAGTCCATAAGTTCCTGTTTCTATATAGATCTTTGTGTCATAACGCAGTGGAATCAGGCGCTCATCAATTTTTGGTCATGTGGAGATAATGAAATCATCTGAAAGCTTATTCATTTGTCTTGCTATTTATGAAAAAAATACCTATTTATCTTGATAGACGCTTACACACCAACAAGCACATAAACAGAATTAACCCCATGTGGGAACCCCACTACACAAACTCCATGAGTAGACCGTTGAACATCTCCTTCACTGCCCAAACCTGGCAGTTCTTCGACGCAAGCTCCTACACACACCTACAGACTTACAAAGCCTGCTCTACTCTGGCACTGACCAGATGACAAGGACACGTGGTTACTTGAGGGAGGCATTGCGATGAGGGGAGATAGGGACGATGGATGTTTGATAGGAAAGAAGAAGAAAACAACACCAGAGCACCCGCCAACCACCCGTTGGAAAAATAGGAAAAATGTCCCCCCTGCAGAAAAACTACAGCAACTGAACAGACAGCACTCAATTACCTTTTGCTTACTCGACACTTATAAAAATAAAATGTATAAACTTAGCACGCAAACCCTCTGCGGGGTACAAATGTTAAACATGTATGGCACACTTTTGCCAGTTTTATTTTCTCCCTTTGATTTACATTTATTGCATGACAAAAAATCAAGATACAAAAAGTGTTAATCTTATGAAGTCTAAAGTTAAGTACATGGTTTCGAATTTTAACCCTTCCAGCCCCAAACGCGTATATTTTCTGCAGTGCGTGAACCTCCAACCGTCCCAAGAGCGTATATTTTCAATTTCGGCGGGTACCGAATTAGTGCATTTAAAAAAATTAGCGAACCTAATTAAACAGTAATTGTTATAATATTTGTTCATTTACCTTTAAAGATTGTTTAATAAGTCATTATCTAAACCTCATTACAAAGATACTACATCAGTTTTTAGAGTGCTTTTCTGAAATACTGCTGTGTTGGCTGGGACTGGGGTTAGGGAGTGCACAAAAATGGCTGGGGCTGGAAGGGTTAAAAAAAGATGTTTTAAAATCGTGATAGTGCTAAAAGAAAGCTGTCTGCCCCATCTGTCTTTTGCTGAGAAAATTTCCACTCTCAGATCATAATATCACAAGTGACATGACTTTGCAAATTCTACAGGTTAATGACATGGACGAAGCATTTAATGCCTGAAGTTTACTTTAGCTTCAGCAAGCACGCAGAGAAAAATCACGCTGACACAAAAATGGCCAGTCTGGGCGAGGTAAAAAGCATGACAGACTTAAGCTTTACTAAAAGTTTTACGGCACTTACAACACAATAAGGTCATACAAGTGCCGAAGACTAGAGGTATTACAAGAGAGTAACAAACACAAAAAAGGAGAGATCAAGACAGAGTTTTACGGCACTTACAACACAATAAGGTCATACAAGTGCCGAAGACTAGAGGCATTACAAGAGAGTAACAAACACAAAAAGGAGGAGGAGAGATCAAGACGATAGACGTTTGATAGGAAAGAAAGAGCAAACCACACCAGAGCAAACCACCACGCATGATAGACAGAGACTGAAAAAAAAAAGACGGAAAGAAAAGAGGTGGGGAATACCTGCATGCATACCAGTAGCACCCTCCGACCACCCGACAGCTGATAGCTTTGGGAAACTGCAGTAAAGTTTACCTCCTACTTCAGGCATTTACAGAAGAAGTGGGTCTAGAACTAACACAAGACAATGTCTATGTCATTTAACAACTTCACCCATTACTCAACACAAAGGAAAATACATAATTACAAGTATGTTGGTCATTTGGTCACTTTTAAGCACAAGGGGGATATCCCGAAAAATGCTGTTTTGAGAAAATCGAAGGTAAAGTTTTGCCCCTTGTTCAGTTTCTTTAAATCTTTAAAAGACATGGAAAGTTTTCTCTATAACCATATACACACCACTGAAACCAAACTTTTCCTATAGGTAGAGCAATGCCCACAAAAAAGATTACCTTGTCCTCTAGAACACCTGACTTTTCTTTCCTTGAAGTCTCAAAGCAGGAGCACTGCTCAAACTGGGAAAAGAATAATAATATATTAACATAATTCTACATAGACCATATATCTCATATATATATAAATATAGTAGCTTAGGCAATTTGCCAAATTTTATTTTCTATTACGCAATCTCACCAACTAGCATATTACAGTACACTTTAAGTAGATCAACATTCCGTTATTCATTTCAAAACCAGCTATCGACATACCAGAAGTACCAATGCTGTAGTGGCAGATCTATATGTGGATCTTAGTGTAACTATTGTTTTAATTTTAGTAGAGGTTTTACCGCGCTCGCAACTGCATAAGGCATAACTATTGGTAACATACGGTACTAATATAATGGAAAAAGCACAAAGATAATTATGACATGCCAAAACATTAACTTTTGGGAAACTAAAGATATATATATACTAAGCAGAAACTCTTGACTTCATTTCTTAATCCCACTGCAACAGCAACAAATTAAGAGGAAAAAAAGATCGAAAGAGGCACTTTAAATAAAAGTTACTAGGTCTAACTAAAATATTCAAATATTCTCTATAAAAAAAGAGCACTGAAATGAGCAAATCAAATACTACAGACAATCCTTCAAATTCTTGGTTTAATAAAATCAAATTAACTATAAATAAAATACGTGATCAATTCCTATTTGTTTGCATCAACCTCCATTAGGCTTTTCAACACACATATTTCCTCAAATCAATTACAACGTACAAATTTTTCTCTCAGTTAAACACAAATTTGTGTTTCTCATGCACCCGAGTGTATAAAAATGCTTGTATGTGACAGATGTAATGCTCTCTACTGTGAACATTGGTGAGGGAAGGGAGTGAGCTGGTTCAATACATGGATCAGAGAGAACAACGAAAAATGAAAGACAAAAGCAGAGATACACAGTCTAAGACAAAATTTTCGTTTTAGTTGAGGTTTTACTGCGCTCGCAACTGCATAAGGTCATATGAGCGCCAAAAGATTAGAGGTGTTACAAGAGAGTAACAAACATAAAAAAGAAAAAGGAGAGATAAGGACGATAGATGTTTGATAGGAAAGAAGAAGCAAACCACACCAGAGCACCCGTCAACCACCGACGTCGATCTTGGACAGGTGGCCATTAGAGCAGGTTTGACTATTGACTGTAGTTTCTGCAGAAAACGCATTTCATTTCTCTGATCTAGCAGCCATCTGAACCTCGTTTTGTTTTGTTTTAGTAAGGTTTTACGGCGCTCGCAACTGCATAAGGTCATATGAGCGCCAAGGGGTGAATGTCACCAGAGAAGTCCAAACGGGGAATCAGGCTTACTCTGCCCACCTCTCTCGCCTCAACAGCACAAAATCTGCTTCGACTATCAAGGCACCCCAGATCACAAGAGTGACAAACATACAAAAGAAGTAGAGGAAAAAAGACGATAGTAAGGATTAGAAAAGAAAAAGCAGCAGTTCCCCCTACGTTGTTCCGGCACAGTATGAGCATGACATTGATAAATCAGCCCATTTACAATTCTACTGTGCATATAAGAACATGTTAATATCCCCCCTTTGGGAATGGCCTAAAGACACTTCAGTCAGTAGCACTGCCCTGGGGGTGTTTTTGGGGGGGGGGGGCGCCGCATCATGATCTAATTCCAATTCCCATAAGTAAACTTCATCAATATATGCATGGAGCAGACAAGGCCGACGGCTTACGATAAACTGGTACTCAGAGTCGGGCTGTCGCATCCACACGCCGGCCGCCAGTCTCACTCCATGAGGGTGACCAAACGTGATTATGTCCCCTTCTTGAAGAACGACGCTCCCTGTTGGACCGTGAACAAAATTTTCACAAATGACACTTGAATCAGGACATTTTAGAGACAACAAATACTGACGAAAAAAATCCTTTATCATGAATACAATCAAAACTTTCATCATTTCTGCAGTCAACACATCCTGTCCAACAGTAAGGACTAAAGAGTTGGCTTCCTCAAAACATCCACAAGTGACAGCAAAGTTCATCATCAATCATTCAGGATTCAAATTGACAAGAAGGGAATGTAGCCTCTTATATTTTGTCATGACGCAGTGGAATCAGGCACTCGTCAATTTTTGGGCATATGGAGTTTTATTGGTATCATCTTAAAGGTTATTGATTTGCCTTTGAAAAAAATATCCATTTATCTTGAATAGAAGTCGAGATATTTGCTCTTGAAAGAGGTGGAGTCTCCTGGTTTCAGAAGTAAAATTAGAGAGAAAATTGCCGCCAAAGTTTGGTGACATCCAAAGCTAAAGAGTATGTGGACACTGCAAATTTACATTTTTTATGCCTTGAATCAATGCTTGTCCATAAAATCCACACATAGAAGTGTTTTTGAATGGACCTACAAGGTGTAGGGCCAAAAAACAAAAATTCGACAAAAACGTTCAAACTGATAGAAAAATGCAGATTTCATGGATTTCATTATTTTGTCGAGCACCTGATTTCACCCCGATACCTTTCCTATAGCATTTTACCAGATACAGTTGGACAATATTGGATAAAGAAAAACCAGTGCAAGCCTAGGACAAAGGCATCGTGCGTGGTGAAATCAGGCGCTCGCCAAAATAAAGAAATTGAAGAAATCCAACATTTTTCCGCCAGTTTGGCAATTTTTATTGATTTTTTTTTTTTGGGGGGGGGGGGGGAGGCTCAAAATCTTTTATAGCAATTTAAAAACACATTTCTGTGTGGATTTCACTGAAAAGCATTGGTTAAAGCCAAATAAAAATGTATATCAGAAAACAAATCTCACCCTGAATTTTTGCATTGTTGATAAATATCCCATTGAGACTGTCATCGTAAAGTCTATGAAAGTTTTCAGATTGCCTGACAATCCTTGCATGCAGTCGGGAAATATACTGACTGGTGACAGGGTTGGAAGAGTCCAGGAGAAAGTCCACCTGATTGCGATTTCGACCAATCAGAGATGTCACCTTACTCAAGCTGAAAGTACATTTATAAATTGTACAAAATCATGTCATTATGTTGAAATCTACAATTTTTAAAAAAGCAAGTACAATAATCTAAAAATACAGAGTAATAATAATATAGTAATTGCATATATATAATAATTATAATAATATAGAGATTATAAATTATAGCACATTATATCAGATCAACACACTACAGCATGAGCACGCTCGACTGCTTTACAGCAGTTATTAAACAAGCAAACCCTTGAACATTAAAAAACATTCTCGGCTTCTCTGGAAGAAACATCATCATCCGGTGCCTTGCCGACTGGCGTGGGCGATCATGGACCTCCACTACACTCTGTCTTGCGTTGCAGCGATGGTGTCTGTGTCGGGAATCTCGGGAAGCATTTAAATAAGGCGCAAAAAAGCTGTACGCGCTCAAATATTAACAATATATGACAAGATCTTACGCAATCTATAGCTGGGTACCCCTTCCCACCTGGTTGAAGTCAGAAAAATTCGTAAAGTGCCTTCCCCAAGGACACAACATCAGGTCCTTGACGGGATTCGAACTCAAACCTTACGGCCGCGAGTCCAAGGTGGAATATATTTCTCACTTCTTTGTAGTTCAACTTCAGACAGGTTCCTCCACTGCAATAATTTGACGTAAAAATCATCATACTATACTCACTCCATAACATCTGCAACTCCTTGCTTGGTGGCTGGCGGTCCTATCCTCCGGAGATGGTACTGTCGCAACCCACTGCTGTTTAGAGCCTCTTCAGTCTGGCACTGGTTCTTCGCTCTTGATGATGCCATGTCAACAGACATGGTTGCAGCATCAGGCTGAGGCAGACAGCAATGATGATGATCATCACGAAACGAAAACTAAAAGACTGTTTGTTTAGGTGAAGAGAAGCACATCAACACAATTAATTGTGTAATGGCAAATGAAATGGTCATGATCCTTTATTTAGTACTTAGCCTGCTTAGAAAAAAGTAAGACAGATGGACAGAAACAATAGGAAAGTAAGGAGTAGGACCTACCAGTGGCGCCCTCCACAACCCACAATTAAAAGTCTGTTCTGTAACTCATGATATAATTTGATTGGTCATCATGTAAAGTAAAAGTAAAGACAGTAAAGTCACTCGTGTAAAGTCAGTGATCTAAATCAAGGCCTACTTTACTATTTTGCCTTTGACGTCTCTTGTCCTTCCATTCATTATCTTTCCTGGACTCTGGACAGTCTAGATTTCATTTTAGGCTACCCTTCTTACATGTATAAAATGTGTAATTTACAGTTGAAGGCCTTTAGATCTAGATCTAGAATCTAGATACATCTAGATCTAGATCTAGATCTAGAAGAGGCCTACTGCACTGTAACATAGATCTAGCAGTGAAGACGTTCAAGATTCAAGTCAATCAAGAAAAACACGACACGTCATTCACTCCGCAAAAACAAAGGATTAAAACACATTTCATCTTCTCGATCTTTTCCATAACCACATTTTGGCATAATTTCCCTTTCCCACATTCTCAGTACCTGAAAATTCATAAATCCTTAAAATTGTCCTTTCAACTGACTTGGTTCTGCTCCGCCGACTCTGACTTACTCCGAGTAAAGTCAACAAGGCAGGCAGAGTCGATCTGGAGCAGTCAAGTTCTTTTCGTCTTGATTTTTAATCTTCAAAAACGCAAAACTTCTGGCAAAATACAAAATAAAATGGCCCAACCAATTAATAAACCATTGCACTCACCCACAGGGAATAAGGGAAATCAATGAAAAGTCAAGTTTGCAAAAAATAGCAGAAGAAGGAAGCCATACAATAATCTGCTTGCCTGGCAACATTTACACTTCCCGCGATTTTGACATTAGCTTCCGGGTTATTGATATCTTGCCGTCCTAAATTTTATTATCCATTTTATAATGTGTATGATATTGTGCATGTCATTATTTTGAGTAAACTCTAGAGTAGTGTTCTTTTCTTTTTACTATACATACATCTTGATTAATTTTTCAGCTATTTAAAAGATATTCTAAATAGTAAAAAGCGTTGATAATAATTAAACCGAATGCCTTTATAATATAATAATTGGGAAACTTTTTGACATCGAAATACTGCGAAATATTGTGAAGACTCACAAGCTCAAAATTATAACCAGGGGCCAGGGATAGCCCACGAGACAATCCCGTTTCTGTTACAGCAGGCTACTTACTACTTAATTAAACTTAAAAGCTTGTACATAGTGCATAAGTAGCCTATATGATGTTCTACAGTGTACTGACACGCGCTCGCGCTCACTTGTATGTAGAGAGAGAGTCAGGGGGAGGGTAAGGTGCAAACTGCACATGCATTAGTACATGTAATACAGTGTGAACTGACTGACAGACACGCGCGCGCACCTGCTTGCATGCATGGCAACAAGTGAGAGAGTGTGTGGTTGGGGGGCTCTCGAGGCCTAGAGGTTAAGGTGTTTGTCTGTCATTCAAAGGTCCCGGGTAGCGACGGGAAAAATTTTCTTCTAAAAAATTGTCTCTTGCTTTACCCTCCTCCTGCTCTCTACCAAAGATCTATCGTCTGCTTTTGTCTCCTCTTTTTGCCCCCACCCTCTCACCCTCTTTGCCCCCTCCTCTGCGCTCCTGGCTCTTTCTGCAGCCTTTCTACTTACTCATTGGCTCCTTCTTACTGCTGTCTTTCAGTCTCACCACTGATCTTCTGGTAGAAAAGATCTACACCTAGCCTTCTTGGACAAAGGCGAGAAATCTCAGAGGTACCGTGAGCAAGTTGTGCACGTTAAAGATCCCTTGGCGATCTAAAATCGACAAGAATAGGCTTTGGCCGCCACCCGGCAAAATTCATAATTTCTTACCAACTGAAAATGTTTTTAATGCGTCCCGCGCGCTCATATATGGCCTTCTGCAGTTGCGAGCACCGTTAAATACTTGCAAACAAAAAACCCAAAACAAAACAAAATTCTTTATAAAAACACATTTTTCGTCGCTAAGAAGTTCACCGTAATAAAAATGAAAAGAAATTTAAGAAAACAGCACAACAACAAAAAACGACTACGGTATTAAGTTTTAGTAGAAGGTTTTACGGCACTCGCAACTGCATTAGGTCATATGAGCGCTAATGGGCGGATGTCAACAGAGAAGTCCTTACAGGGAATCAGACTTACTCTGCTCACCTCTTGAGTTTCAACAGCACGAAGTCAACTACGACTATCAAGGCACCCCGGAAATAGCAGGTCACAAGAGTGTGACAAACATACAAAAGAAGTAGAGGGAAATGACAATAGTAAGGATTAGGAAAGAAAAAGCAGCAGTTCCCTGTTGTAGTTCAGGCAAGTCATGAGCATGACATTGTTGGATCAGCCCATTTACAATTCTACTGTGAATTAGAACGGGAAATGTCCCCCCTTTGGAAATAGCCTAAAGACACTTCATGGTCGGTGGCACCGCCCCGGGGGTGACTACGGTATGCTATCCACCGATATAAGACTGTCTTTATAGTCCAATATACCCCCCCCCCCCTTTTTTTTTTTTCTTCCCCCGTTTCCCGAAAAAAAGGAACGTCACAACAAAACAACGAAAGCCTTTTATTATCCACACAAAGCGGATAATGGCTTCTTCCTTCACAAAAAGACCACTTCTATTGGTCCGTGTGGGGTGAGCAATTACAAAAACGGTGCCATTGTCTATACTGTAGGCCTATACTGTATACAGTACGCCTAATACTAATACGTATATTATAATTTAGCTGTCTCAGATTATAGTGTGTGCCTACTAGTATTTTTAGTTTTAGTAGTAGAGGTTTTGCGGCGCTCGCAACTGCATAAAGGCATGTACGTCATATGAGCACCGGAAGATTAGCGAGGTGTTACAAGAGAATAACAAACATAAAAAAGAAGGGGGAGATAAGGACGATAGATGTTTGATAGGAAAGGAGGAGCAATAAACGACACCAGGGCACCCGCCAACCACCCACGTGTACTAGTGTGTAAACACGCCACCACAAAATACATAATTCATGACAATGACAACGTCAACTCAAGCACTAAAACGTAAAACTGAAAACAAACACGTTTGTTTTCGAGGCGATCGAGTCGGGCGATCGGCCGATCCCAGCCGTAGTGGGCACCCCGTATTAGACTTACACAATTCTCCCCTCTCACCAGGGGCGAAGCGTCTATATAATCAAATAATCACTGCTTCCCTTCCTAATTTTGAAACATTGTCGTTGTCAAATTCATCCTTAAACGTAAACCTCTTAAATTAAAAGTAAAAAGAGGTTCGTAATCCACAATGAGTATGCCTAACATTCAAAACGGTTTCACGGCCACATAAATAGCCTCCTCACCCCTCTCGGGCCACTCCATAAGCAGTCGCAAGCTTTGATTAAGTAAGCTTAAAGTGAGGCTGGAAGAGTCTATCAATACAGTTGAGGGAACATGTGCATAGCAGTCATGGCTGTTTCATTGCCACATATACCCTGTTTACCCCTTTGGGGTCACAGTTATAATCAATCCCAAGCCTTGATTAAGTAAGCTAACGAACGCTGGTCGAGTCTACCTCACAAATGTGAGGGGAACTAACTCCTAACAATCTCTTTACTGCTGCATGTGCTTGTTTTTTTTCCTCGACTTTTTACTGTCCTATAATCAGATCGTGACCTCGATTATAATGACACCAGCTCCTGGCCACGAAAGGCTAACAAAAACAGCCAAATGTGAAATTTAAAAAATGATAATTGTCATGTTTTACCAAAGAGTTAGACTCTCTGGTAGGTCTATAACATATAGATCTAGTACTGACATCTCTGCTTCTTTGCTTTGTGTTTATGTATTCACATCTAAAGTTAATTTAATTTTAGTTGGAACTGATATTTAATAAGATACTTTCCCGATTATTTTGGCGGTTGAACATACAATATGAATTCCGGATTTGTTTTCATTCACAACTCAGAGTCGCCGCCTCGAGTAAGATTCTTCTGTGATATCTACAGGCCATATAGATCTATATCTGGTCCCGTTTCACTTTGATTACCCTGTCAAACAAGTCTGCCTCTCACCAGGCGATGTGCTGCACGTGAGTAAGGGATGCACTGACTGAAGGACGTCGAGAGATCGATAGAGAGTGATTTACAGCAGCACTCCGTGAATAGATCGACACATCTCACTTACGGGTCAAGGACGCGGGGGCGCAGGGGTGAAGCGGGGAGTAGGCTGTTCCCGAAATAGAGATCTCAGTTAGTTTTAGAAGAGGTTTTACGGCGCTCGCAACTGCATAAGGTCATATGGCGCCAGAAGATGAGAGCTGTTACAAGAGAGCAACGAACATAAAAAAGAAGAAGGGCAGATAAGGACGATAGATGTTTAATAGGAAAGAAGAAGCAAACCACACCAGAGCACCCGCCAACCACCCAAATAGAGATCTCATTTCTCAAACGTGCTCGACTAAACTGGGGAAGAAGACGGTGGTTGGCGGGTGCTCTGGTGGTACGTAGGGTTTGTTCAAGGAGCTTAAAAAACAAACTGTAACCTGTAAGGACAAGCGGGCTAACCCAGATTTCGGGGGTTTCCAGAAATCTTTACCTGCACCAAAAGTGGTCATTGCCCTACCCGAATGAGAAATTTGGTTTCATTGGTGAGTATGTTACAGAGAAAACCCTCCTTGTCTTTTAAACAAACTGAACAAGGGGCAAAAACTTTACATTCGGTTTCCTCAAAACAGCATTTTTGGGGAGAACCCCTTGTGCTTAAAATCGACCAATTGTGATTATGCGCCTGGTGGCACAACAACTAGACAACCAAGACAGCTGCCAGAGTTTTACGGCATTTGCAAAACAATAAGGTCATATAAGTGCCGAAGAATAGACGTGTTACAAGAGAGTAACATACACAAAAAAGAGGGGAGATAAGGACGATAGATGTTTGATAGGAAAGAAGGAGTAAACCACACCAGAGCACCCGCCAACCACCCACACCGAGCCAGATGGGCAAATTCGTGCAAAGTGCCTTGCCCCAAGAACATAACGTTGGAATTTAGTTTTAGTAGAGTTTTTATGGTGCTCGCAACTGCATAAAGGTCATATGAGCGCCAAGGGGTGGATGTCAAAGAGACATCCTTACAGGGAATCAGGTTTACTCTTATTTTAATTTAGTAGACGTTTTACGGCGCTTGCAACTGCATAAAGGTCATATGAGCGCCAAGGGGTGGATGTCAACAGAGACATCCTTACAGGGAATCAGGCTTACTCTTATTTCTATGTAGTAGATGTTTTACGACGCTCGCAACTGCATAAGGTCATATGAGCGCCAAGGGGTGGATGTCAACAGAGACATCCTTACAGGGAATCAGGCTTACTCTTATTTTAATGTAGTAGATGTTTTACGACGCTCGCAACTGCATAAGGTCATATGAGCGCCAAGGGGTGGATGTCAACAGAGAAGTCCTTACAGGGGATCAGGCTTACTTTGCTCACCTCTCCAGCTTCAACAGCACAAGGTCTGCTTCGATTACCAAGGCACCCCGGAAATAGCGGGTCACAAGTGTGTGACAAACATGCAAAAGAAGTAGAGAAAACATGACGATAGTAAGGATGAGGAAAATAAAAAACAAAAGAAAGCGGAAATGAGTAACCTGGTATGTAGTTTTATTTGTTGATTCAACAAGTCATCCACAAAGGCAATATCAATAGAATGACACCTGTGTTATGAAAATAGAAAAATTCTAATCTATTTCACATGGTTATTGTAATTTTCTTATATCAGTTATCACAGATCACGGTATGAACAGAAAACATTGCATAAAGGCAGTTAGAACATGTTAATGAACAAACATAATATAAAATGATGAAGAAACGATTTCCTTAAAAATTTCGACACGCTTGC